GAGTGAGAAAAAGACTACTCAGTTTATCTTCAGCTGAAAGCAGAGCAGTATGGATGCTAAGCGAGCGTTAGCCGTAACAGCCGGAGTCTGCATTTTTGTACTATACATGACAATTATATGTGTTTTTATTATTACACACGTTATTATCATTATTATTATACAGGTATTATACGTAGTTCTGACGGTTTACTTTGGGGGTCTGAGCTGTAACAGTGTGTTAAACAGTGTGGAGGCTGTACTGTAGCCTGTCTGTGTCTCACTGTGAGCTGTTTATCTGCTTCTAATCGCTGCTTTATTACACAAACCAAGAGGAGATTAAAATAATACAGGAGTGAATTCTGTACAGCTCACTGATCACAAACACTCAGGATGGAAAAAGTTAAACAGTGTTCAGGGTGAATCTGGAGAAACATCTGTCAGAATTTCACAGACGACATTACTATAGTGATTATAGTGATTATGGTGATATGAGAAGATGATCTAAAGCGAGTTCTACTGGAACCTGTTTGACTGCAGTGAATATCTGTGCTGGGCGGCGTCCTGCTGTCCTGCTGTCCTGCACCAGCGCATGTTTATGGATAACAGTGAGTCACAGAAACCACATAATGAACTTTATTACAGATTCCTGAACACGTCCCTCCCTCCGAGACAGAGACTCAAGGGTTAGGCACTTAGCATCATGCTATCTGCTTTCACTTATACAGTCTTAGCTGTTAGCCACAGAGCTAAAATTACAGAGACAAACTTCAGACACCGAACACGTCCTGGCTGATCAACTACATTTGGAGGATTGGGGGGGGTGAATGGGGGGTGTTGGACATTAGAACTTTAATTTTCTGATCTATCGCTTTAATAGAAAATGCAGCATGAAGTGACGACACAGATCCTACAAACTGAAATATTAACGCAGCAGGACACGCTCTGAATATTCATGAGCTCGATCATTCTGACACACACAAAGAGAGACAGCGAGAGAGTAAGGACAAAGAGAGAAAGAAAGAGGGCGAGAGACAAAAAGAGATATATATATATATATATATACATATAGAGAGAGAGAGAGAGAGAGAAACTCCCCACAGGAGATATGCTCTCACAGACACACTCAGACAGCGCTACACGATCGCGTTCCAAACACCTGCATATGTGTGTGTGTGTGTGTCCAGGTTCTACAGGTTTCCTAGCAACAGTCTCTAGGGAGGAGCTCAGGAGAGTACACAGATCAGGTAACACATACAAACTCACTCCAACACTCAGATATACACACACACACACACACACACACACACACACACACACACACACACAGGCAGACATTAGTAGCGAAAGTGCTGAGTGGTCAGCGGTGTCCAGCAGCATGTGCTGAACGTCCAGCTGAAGGGACAGGCTTGTCAGAGTGAGGCAGCACTGCAAACTCACCGCTGGCACGTCATACAACAGACCACAGATCTGAACACGAGCCAGAAATCTGTAAAGGAGACCCAGAAACCCCACCCCCACCCCACCCCCCACCACGGTCTCTTTATCTCCACTTCTCTGTTTATTTGTTAATTCACTCTTTCAGGCCGTCTGTGAGGACCTTTGACCCTTAGCTGATAAACACTCTCCATCTACAGCAGTTTCCGGGGGGTGGGGGGGGGGTTATTCTCTCTCACACTCACACACACAGCACTAAATTCTCCACCAGTTAATGAACAATTCACTGTGCTGTAAAAGCGCTTACTGATCCAGCAGGACACACATCTGACCACAGATAATCAATATTAAATCAATGGAACACTAAAAGTAATGAATACATAATCAATGTTAACAGGCATCTCCCCCCGACATGGACGGGTGGGGCAGCATTAATGAAAATGAAGGGAATCCAATGACACAGTCGCTCTCGCACAACTATGACATAGTCACACTCTCACAACTAAAACATACATTATATGGGCACAATAAAAGTATTGGGATGCACAAATCACACCTACAGGAGCTTTTATGACTCCCATTCTAAATCCATAGCCATTTATATGGAGTTGGTTCCCCTTTGCAGCTCTAACAGCTTCCACTCTTCTGGGAAGCTTCTACAAGATGTTGGAGAGTCTGTGGGAATTTCTGCCCATTCATCCAGAAGAGCATCTGTGAGGTCAGACACTGATGTTGGACGAGAGGGCCTGGCTCACAATTTCTGTTCTAGTTCACTAGGTGTTTGGTTGGGTTGAGGTCAGGACTCTGTGAGGGTCAGTCAAGTTCTTCCACACCACATTTCTTCCAGGCCTTTATGGAGCTGCTTTGTGCACTGGGGCTCAGTCATGCTGGGACAGAAAAGGTTCTTCCCCAAACTGTTCTCACAAAGTTTGAAGCACACAATTGTCCAAAATGTCTTGGTGCTGAAGCATTAAGATTCCCCTTCACTGGAACTAAGGGTTCTAGACCAACCCCTGAAAAACAGCCCCATATCATCATCATCCCTCCTCCACCAAACTCTACAGCTGCACAGTGCAGTCAGGCAGGTAACGTTCTCCTGGCATTCGCCAAACCCAGACTCGTCCATCAGACTGACAGATAGAGAAGCTGATTGGTCACTCCACAGAACACCTTCCCACTGCTCCAGAGTCCAGTGGCGGCGCTTTACACCACTCCAGCCGACGCTTGGCATTGTGCATTTTGATCTTAGGCTTGTGTGCAGCTGCTCAGACATGGAAACATATTTCATGACAGTTCAGTGCAGTTCTTCAGCTGGTGTTGCCTCCAGAGTCAGTTTGGAGCTCTGTAATGAGAGCTACAACACAGGATAGACACTGTGCGCTTCAGCACTTGGTGACCCCACTCTGTGAGTTAGAGTGGTCTCCCTGTTGGCTGAGCTGTTGTTGCTCCATTTCACAATTATAGCACTTACAGTTATCCAGGGCAGATCTAGCAGGACAGAAACTTCACAAACTGACTTGTGGCAGAAGCGCCTCCTATTATAGAACTATGTTTATACTCACTGAGCTCTTCAGTGCGACCCTCTTCAGCCACACCCACTGTCAGCAGTGGGTGTGGCTGAAACACCAGAACTCAGTAGTTAGAAGGGGCGTCCAATACTTTTGTCCCAATAATTTACACACACAGCTGCTCTCGCACAACACAATTTTCCAAACTTAGTGTTGATTACAAATCAATACTGAATGTTTTCCCATTAGAGGAAAATTACCAACATTTCCTCACCTGTATTAAAAACACCTGTAGACCTGAGACCCCACCACATACACTAAATTCCAAGAATTCCCAACAACAACTTCATATACACACTACACATTATTACTAAATTATCCACACCACTGCCAGATTAGCCACATTATCACTGAATAGTCTGAACTATCCACACTATTAGAGAACTATCCACGCTATTGGAGAAAGATCCGCACTATTAGTGAATTATCCGCACTATTAGTAAATTTTCCGCACTATCGGAGAACTATCCGCACTGTTAGTGAACTATCCGCACTATCGGAGAACTATCCGCACTGTTAGTGAACTATCCGCACTGTTAGTCAATTATCCGCACTATTTGTGAACTATCCGCACTATTGGAGAACTACCGCACTATTAGTCAATTATCCGCACTATTAGAGAACTATCCGCACTATTCGTGAACTATCCACACTGTTAGTGAATTATCCGCACTTTTAGTGAATTATCCCCACTGTTAGTGAATTATCCCCACTGTTAGTGAATTATCTGCACTATTAGTGAATTATCCCCACTATTAGAGAACTATCCATACTATTAGTGAATTTTCCGCACTATTAGTGAATTATCCTCAATATTCGTGAATTATCCCCACTGTTAGTGGATTATCTGCACTATTAGTGAATTATCCGCACTATTAGAGAACCATCCGTACTATTAGTGAATTTTCCACACTATTAGTGAATTATCCTCAATATTCGTGAATTATCCCCACTGTTAGTGAATTATCCCACTGTTAGTGATCTATCCACACTATTAGTGAATTATCCCCACTGTTAGTGATCTATCCACACTATTAGTGAATTATCCACACTGTTAGTGATCTATCCACACTATTAGTGAATTATCCCCACTGTTAGTGGATTATCTGCACTATTAGTGAATTATCCGCACTATTAGAGAACCATCCGTACTATTAGTGAATTTTCCACACTATTAGTGAATTATCCGCACTATTCATGAATTATCCACACTATTAGTGAATTATCCATGCTGTTAGTGATCTATCCACACTGTTAGTGAATTATCCACGCTGTTAGTGATCTATCCACACTGTTAGTGAATTATTCCACCTGTTAGTGATCTATCCACACTGTTAGTGAATTATTCCTACTGTTAGTGATCTATCCACACTGTTAGTGAATTATTCCTACTGTTAGTGATCTATCCACACTATTAGTAAATTATCCACGCTGTTAGTGATCTATCCACACTGTTAGTGAATTATTCCTACTGTTAGTGATCTATCCACACTATTAGTAAATTATCCACACTGTTAGTGATCTATCCACACTATTAGTGAATTATCCACACTGTTAGTGATCTATCCACACTATTAGTAAATTATCCACACTATTAGTGAATTATCTGCACTATTAGAGGACTGTCCGCACTGTTAGTGTTTTTGTGGTGCAGTCTGTGTGTTTAGGCCTGTTGGCGCCGCGGGCGGAAAACACGTTTTAAAACCTCAGAAAATAGAACTTCACTTTATCACCGGAACTTTAATCACCATGATCTTAAAACGTTTAGTGAAACCAATCAAACTAAGGTTACAACAAACATTAACATTAATATTAACATTAAAATGTAAATTAATTGTAACTATTTATATTGCGACTAATTTAATTTACCTGTTTATTTTCTTCTTAACAGTGAAACTGTTCACGCTGCGAAGTGACCGATACCGAGCGGTCAGAGTGAATATTGATCTTCAGTCTCTCTGAGGTTCGATCATCGAAACCGATCAGCAAACAAATCAACTTTAACCCGGTTAAACTCACCTGCACTCCAAACCGCCAAGCTCACCAAGAGCAGCGCGTTACTGATCGGCTTCATCACTGCGGATCGATCTTCTCCGAGTTCGTCCCGAAAGTGAGAGAAATTCGGACTTTGCTGAGTTTTTCTTCTCTTCCTCCTCTTTTCTTCTCCCGAAGCATCGGACAAGCAGAGCCGCTCTGCAGGTGGATTCTGGCTGGAATCTGATCACGTGGCGTCACAAAATGGACCAATCAGAGTGCACCTCGTTCTCTCTACCCGTTTTCCGACGAGCTCCGCCCCTCCTGCGCTCTGATTGGCTAATGTGCTGTTCTAAACTACGTACGGGAGGCGGGGCTTGTCTGAACACGAGTGGGGGAAAAGGAAAGTGTAATAGTGAAGCCTCTTCCGCCACCTGCAGGACAAACAGCGCTAATACAACATTTACAAACGAAATAAATTAATATTTTACTTTAAAAATGTTTATGAATTACAGAAACATCATCGCGTTTCAGATACAGCTGAAAACTAAACCAAACTAAACTGAGCCTCTCATCAATATTTCCTCCATTTTTTCATTTTTTCGCGTTCATTTCAGACTTTACTTCAAATTCCATCCCAAATATTACTGAGGGAAAACTACCATCAAACATTCGCCACGCAAATACATGAACACATCAGTTTAACATAAAACATTAAATTAATCATTTATTTGTGAGTTTTGTTTTCTGTCCGTCACACCAGCTTCTTTAGCGACAAGGTGACGTCATTAAACGCTTCAGGAGAGCCGAGAGCGAAAGCTGGTAAATTTGGCTTTTCTTGAACAGATAATGAAACGAGCCATCAGGTAGAACACGAGAACCAGAGGAACCGGTTTCTGGAGAGAGAAACTGAAACAACAGAGGACATAAAACAGGTTCCTCAACAGAGCTCACTTAGAACTCATCTAACAGAACCACCCTCTTACAGTCAATCTACAACAGAACCGCCTACAACAGAACCAAATACACAGCAGAACCATCCACAACAGAACCATCTCCACAACGAATCATGAACCATCAAAAGAAACTGGAGGAAAAAATGTTAAAAATTCACACCAACAGCAATAAAAACAACAATAACGGTCATTATTAATGAAACATATTTAACAGTGACCCGAATCAGCGTCAGTGGTTTTCTTCAAAGTATCCTGGCTTTATCTTATTTTAATAATGAGATCATTTAAGGATGTGATGATTCAGAAGTGTTTTAATGTTTATGATCATATTCAGGAAAGAGAAACTCATTTATTTAATGTTATTTAAATTTAGTAGAATTTTCCTCAACTGACTCAGCAAAGAAGCACCAGGATTACAAATTACGAGTCACCAATATTTAATGATTTATTTGCTCATTTATTCATATATTTAATCTGTCCATTCATCATTCAGTTCAGTTGATCATCTGATCAGTTACCCAGTAAGATTTGGAACAATAACACAGCAACACCAGCTGTATTAATGAGCTAACAAGCCATTTTAGAACATCTGAATCTCCATATTTCTTTATCTTTTTTAGGTATAAAATACAGTATTTGTTGATAAAACACAGCACTCTCTCATTTCTGAGGCAACTTCTGAACAATAACTGATGAAAATGAGAAAATAATCAGTGCAAGAAGTTCTTAGAAACAACATTTTTAGTAAAGACAGAAAATTATTTAAAACAATATTTTAAGACAATTTAGTAAAAATGACTTTTAAAGCTCTGACCATATAAAATACCCTTTGTTTTTTAATTTAAGCCACTTTGTCATTTTAAAGGAAGACTATTTCTTTCATGTAACAGTCTCTGTAAAAAGAACCACGAGTGAAATATTTCAGGCTAAACATACATTAATACACATATTAATAACCAGGTGAGCTCAGTCAATGACATAGGAGAGTAACTTGTGTCATATGAATAAAAACATCAGCCTAAACAAACATTTTGTTTTCAGATCTCAATTTTTACAAATTAGTTCATTTGAATAAATTTGATCTTTTATAAAATTAATTTTACAGTAAAATATGAATCATAATGAGAAAAACAAATACAGTTAGAAGTGACTATTAGTTTATGTTCATTAAAGAGGCAGAAATACAGTCAGTACTGATCAGCAGTGGGTATTGATGAACACTGATCTGATCAGAATCTTTCTGTGATTGTAGGTTTTAATTCTTTGATCTTCTGTTAATCATCATTTGTTCAGAACATTAAACCCATTTCAGGTGGAGGTTCAGTCTGAACAGCTCTGAGTTACTGAACTACTGAACACGCAGAACGAGAATAACAAACTGCTGGAGTTCTGAAAGAGGTTCTGAATGAACCCGGAGTTCTGAATGAGGTTCTGAATGGAGCCGGAGTTCTGAAACTGTAAAACGTTCAGCAGTAAAGACAGAGAGGAGTTTAATAATATTTCTCTTTAATAATTTGTAGCTGAATATTTCTGATCAGATTTTAACAGAAGATTCTAACAGTTACTGAAACAGATCGAATGCTAAACTATAACAATCAGACAAAATCAGGTGTGAGAAATCAATAATAATAATAATAATAATAACAACGATAATAATAACAATAACAACAATAATAGTGGTAGTGTAGAACCATTTGGACCCAGAGATTTAGAACTGAAGTCCTGAAGAAGAACTTTACTCTAAAACACACAAATCCACTCTGAACAGGTTCCGCTGTAGAACGTAGTGAACATTGTCATAATAACTATTATTTAATTAATAGCTGTTTTCAGATCTGGCTTTTTTCATTTAAGGCACATTTACTGTTTTGCGCTGTAAAAACGTCTCCTGGCCAGTAATATGCTCTTAAATCTAGTCTGAATATGTAATATTTCTCTTATTGAGACTGTTGTGAGCTTATTATAAGATTATTAACTTATTTCTAGACATTATTTACATGTTTAAGGTGATTTTAGTCAGATCATCTTCCTCACTACACACGCAGATTATTTAGACTGTTTACAGCACATTTCTTACAACAAGCAAAACATCTGCCAACATGGTGAGAATTAGACTTAATAACATTAATTAAAACATAAACACGTCTACAAAAAAGTTCAATAATCTTACAATAAGCTTATCAATCTCAATATGAGAAACATTAACATATAATGACTCAATTTAGGATCATTTTACTTGCCAAGGTGCCGCTTTCCACAGTGCAGGTTCACTGTTCCACATTGAGACGTCCATTTAACAAACAAACAAACAAACAAACATTGTAGTGGTGATTAATTTTAGAATCAGATTTCTAATAAAGGTGAACTCTGAACAGAAGCTTTAGAGTCTAATCAGAGTCTCTATCCGTTTTCTAACCCATAATAATCCCCGTTTTTCCACTCGTTTGGCTCAGAGGTTTGTATTCATTTCATCTCCTCACTGTGCCCGTTTGGAGGGAGGCACCAGGTGGTCCGGCAGTTCGGCAGGTAACTCGTGCCCCTCCAGCTTCACTTTGATGAGGTGATTGGCCAGCGCAAACTCCTCGTCGTCCAGGAACCCGTCTTTGTCCACGTCCGCCAGCTTCCAGATCTTTCCCAAGACCGTGTTGGGCAGTTTGGACTTGACCATCTCTTTCTTGGCCATGGCGCCGGACACCTTCCCGTTGACGGGGGAGAGCGTGTAGAAGATCTCGTCGTAGGTGGGTTTGTCTCGCGCCACGATCCACTCTAGCTCGTCGATGCCCTCGCCCGCGCCCTCGCCGTAGCCGTGCCCAAACGGGCCATTCATGGTGCCCTCGAAGGCTCCGCCTTGCACCGCCTGGCTGGGCGCAGCCGCCTCTTCCTGACGCACCAGCGTCATCAGGCGGGCAATGTCGTTGGCCAGCATGTCCTCCACCGCCTCCAGGAGCTTCGGCTTTATCGTCTGGAACTTGGTGAAGTCCTGACCGGCCAGAACCTCCTGCAGAACCAAGACACAGTGTGAGGAACCAAGCTGGAACCCAGTGTTCTGTTCTCCAGCTTTGGTTTTGAATCGTCTGTTCCACCTTAAATGGTGCAGCAGTTACAGGCGCCAGAATGTCACTGCTGCACTATTTAAGGTGGAATGGACAATTCCAAACAGAGGCTGGCAAACAGGGATACTTATTTCACTAAATAATTTGAGGCAAGTATACAATGATGTAGGCATGCAGTTAGCACCATGCTAATTGGTGGGCTACTAGCTTAGCCTCTTAGTTCCAGTGCTAAAACTAAAGAAGCTAACTTCAGACACCAAACATGAAACTTTCTCTTTTACAAACCTGCATTTTGGAGAGTTTGGGGAAATCTCCCTGGGAAATCTGCTGGTCCTTCTCGATCTTGGCGTAAATCTCCCCCAGATTAGCGATCAGCTCTTTCTTCTTATTCTCCTTTCCAAACATGTTGGGCATCTCCTTCTTCAGGGCGCTGATGATGTAAGCGTGGACCTGGAGACAGAAGAGCTCAGATGAGTTCTCATGGTTTTATAACAGCGTTTTCACTCAGACAGCCTAGTCATGTTTTTCTGCACCTACACTCCTAAAGATGGTTCTTCAAGGGTTCTTCAGTAAAGACAGTGATTCTATATAGAACCATAAATCTTCACGTTTAAATGTTTCCCTGTATGGTTAAATGGTACTTCAAATTGATAGAGAATGTGTTGTATATCTAAACGGACTCGCCCCTCAGAACCTGAGTGAACTTCTCTCCCACTATGAAACATCACGCCTACTTAGATCACAAGGTGCTGCTCACTATTAGTACCTAGAATTAATAAAGCTACATCAGGGGGCGGAGCTTCTCATACAAAGCCCCCCAGCTTTGGAATAATCTTCCAGTCAGTGTTCGAGACTCAGACTCAGCCTCAGTGTTTAAGTCTAGACTAAAAACCCACTTGTTTAGTGGAGCCTTTGGTAATTAGTTGTTCCTGTTAGATAAAAGGTGCAGATCTGGGGTTCATGGTCAGAGAGTATTATGGTAAACTGGGAGTGTCGGGCGCCGACATCTCACTTTCACAAACCTCACCCTCATGAACTGACCCTCCTGCTGCTGCTGCATAAACTCAAACTATCTAATTAACCGTTGCTCCACCTGTTTTTCCCTGTTTTGTAATCTAATATTTCATTCTAACGCTGTTTGCTGTCCGGTGTTGACCAGAGGTGGATGGGTTCCCCTTCTGAGCCTTGGTTCCTCTCAGTGTTTCTTGCTCTTAGGGAGTTTTTCCTTGCCACTGTTGCCATTGGCGACGCTCATGGGGGCTCGGACCCGGATTTTTCTGTAAAGCCGCTTTGTGACAACACCTGCTGTAAAAAGCTCTATATAAATAAACTTTGACTTGACTTAACTTGTATATGGTTCTATATAGCACCGAAAAGGGTTCTGCTACTGGAACAAGCTTGGTGTAACAATAGCAGAACCCTTACTGGTGCTATGTAGAACCATTTTCAGAGAGGTTCTGTATAGAACCATATACAGCACATTTCCAGTGCAGAGACTTTAACAGGCGTGTGTGCTCTCCCTTTATTTATAGCCTCTACTAAAGAACGCTAGAAGAACAGGGTTTTAAGTGTGTAATAAAAGCAAGATTCCCAATTCAGTGTTCCTGAAGAGTGACCAGTAAAACCTGCAGCATTAGCGTTAGCATTAGCGCTGTGGACTTTCACAGCCGTAACCTGAAGCTCAGATAAGACTCGTTCAGATAAACAGAGCGAACCTTGGCCAGGCGGGCTCTCTTGATGAGGTCGTTGAGTTTTCGGAGCGCGGCATTCCGGGGAAGACTCTGGATGTCCTGGAACAGATCCTGCTCTTCCGCCTCAAACAGCTTCCTGTTGTCAGGCACCAGCAGCGGCTGAGCCCAGAAGGAGCCGATGTAAACTCGGATCACCTCTGGAGTGTTGACGATTTTCCCCAGAGACCACATGAGGGCGCCATACACCCTCATCAGCTGCTGTGTGCCGATCTGATCCGATTTATTCAACACCACTCGCATCTTATCCTCGTGGTTCTTCAGGGCGCGGATCACTTCGGAAAACTCATCCGAAATGTCCAGCTTGTGGGCATCGAAGAGCAGGATGATCCGGTCCACTCGCTCCGCAAACCACTCCAGCACGGCCGCAAAGTCGTAACCTGCAGAACACACAGACAACAACGTTAATCACACACACACACACACACACACACACAATAAACAACGTTAATCACACACACTCACACACACATAAACAACGTTAATCACACACTCACACACAATAAACAACGTTAATCACACACTCACACACACAATAAACAACGTTAATCACACACACACACAAAGAACGTTAATCTCACACACATCAGCTTTAAAGAGAACCATTTTCAGTGTTCATAATGTTATTTTTGCTCTACTGTAACAGATTTTCAGCCTCAATGTTCCAAAAACACATTTTTCCTCTCTACTGTTCATCTCTGTTCAGCCTGACTAATATGCTCTGTTAGAGCTCCTGTGTCTTTAAGCCCCGCCTCCTGATGAGCACAGCATGCTCTGATTGGTCAGCTCGCCCACTCTGTTCTGATCAGTCAACCTCCAGAGAGGTTCCGCCCCTCCAGGTTCCGCCCCTGTTCTGCAGTCTGCAGACAGACTCTTCTCTTCTGAGCAGCTGCAACTCCGCTGTGGCTGTTTCTCCAGCGGTGTCGGTTCTGCCACATCAGTTTGATCCAGAGTGGATCCTGAAAGTCCGGTAAGCGTTGTCGCCACACGCTACAGCACCGAACACACTTTTCCTCCTCCAGTAGCCGCTGCGCGCTGTGTGAAAGGAAAATGGCTGGAATTCCAACGAAGATAACAGCAGTCAGTGCAGCAGTTCTGCAGTGCATGACAGTCAGCAGCCTGGGCAGTGATGGGACTGGTCAGGTTTGCAGTGCGAGGCCTAGTGTACACTGAACGACTTTCAGAATCTCAGAGCTGTTGTGCTGCTCACACTTCACAGCATTCATGGCCAGCGACCTGCTGCTACATCAAGGTAGCAGAGTGGATGCTGCCCATTAACTGCAGACGAGGCTCGTACTCAACACCATCTTTCACCCACACACAGGGATGCGGGAAGGTGTTTTCAGCTGGGGGAGCTAAAATTTTAGGCAGTACACGCGTGATGTGAACAGTGACGTCATGCAAAATAATTTGCCTTTTTTCATTTAGATTTTTTTGATAATTTACATCAAACAGAGAGTCAGAATGTGGTGAGAGACCAAAGTATACCCTCATAATAACTGACACATCAAGCTACTGATGCTCACCCTGATTTCTCTGCTGTCTCTTTCTGGATGTATGCAAATGAGCTGAGTTGCATCCAATCAGATTGTTAATGTGTAAGCGGTAAGCAATTGTGTCAATTACAGCCAAACACTGGAACCCACACCAGCGGGAGATACAACAGCTGATAAAAAATAATATATTCAAAGTTAAAAACAATATCAGGCAACTTTCAGGCTCAGAAATGTCCTACAGCTCCTCACACACTCTCCCACTTTGCTCCTCAACCTGCGTGTGTTTTAGAGACACGCTGCCAAAGCAGCCAGCAGGGGGCGAGAGAGTGATTCAGCTCTCTGAAAATATACTGTTAACATATAAAGTGCAGCTAGTGCAGGTTTTTAAAATACAAACTCACTCCAAAACAAGACAGTCTTTACTATGTTCAAACTAGTTTTATGTTCAGATTTTTAAATTATTTTAGCAGTTGCAATTAACCAGCCCTGAAATCTAGGAGTGCTGCCACCCCTCACAAAGATCCCTGATGACGCACACCTGATGAGAAAAATCCCACTATCTCACAGGAATAAAAGCGAGTCAACACACTTTCTGTGGTAGTTTGCTTGCTGGGTTCTCTGCTTGCTGGGTTCTTACAGAATGCGAGTTCATCTCCAGCTCAGAGGAGAATGCCGCTGGGAATGTTCAGTCACAGCTTCCAGATCCAGCCGCAGTGACGGAGCAGCAGACTTGGAAAATATTCTCAGTATTGTTCAGAATTGTTCAGGATGGCTTGTTCCTCACTCCCTGGGAGTTTTCTTGCGTTCTGAATGGCTCACTGGTTGCTCCTGCCGTTGAGCCCGGGGGGCTGATTCAGGGGGATCTGGTTTGTCACAGGTCTGAAAAAATGTGTCTGCAACTGGAAAATTCAAGCTAAAATCCTTTAGAGTGGATTTAACAGCAGCCACAGACAACAGCACAGTTCAGTTCCAGCAGCAGAGCAGCTCAGATTACCCAGCATGCACCCTTTAACAGACCACACTGGAGAAACTGGAAACTAAACACACCACAATAAACACATTGACGTGTTATTCTCTGAGTGAGGACACTCAAAGCTCTGATCAGTGTTTCTGTAGAGCTGACAGAGCAGTGGGCGGAGCCATCACACTTTGGCACCGCCCCCATTTCCACGGACACTGACACACACACACACACACACACACCACACACACACACACACACAGAGCTCACAAACAGGAAAAGAAGTTCAAAAGGGCAAACTACACATACACACGCACACAGACACACACACACGTGAGAAACACCTCCCTCTCTGAACTTTGGATGAGTTATAAACACTTTATAGCCGGCACAGTGAATAAATGAACGTCAGAAAACAGACAGTTTACTAAAAACTCTAATATTTTAGTTGGAGCTTTATAGACGATGGTGTGTTTGTGTGTGTATGAAAATGAAAACGTGTTCTTTTCATTATAAACTTCACCTTTAAACAAAACATGCTGTACATTTCAGTATAATGCAGGCTGTGTCCTTGACTACTGCACCTTCACTACACAGTGCACTGCTTTAGGAGTGTGCTCTCATTGTACAATACCCATAATGCACTGCCATGTAAAACAGAATGAGGCTTCCAGAGTGATGAACAAAACCAGTAATGTTAGCAGACAACAACAGGGCTCTACATAGTGCTCCAACGTACAGAATAGTGAATGATAGTGTGTCAAATAGTGCTGTAATGTAGGAAATAGTGATTGATAGTGTGTCAAATAGTGCTCCAATGTAGGAAATAGTGATTGATAATGTGTCAAATAGTGCTCCAATACAGGAAATAGTGACTGATAGTGTCAAATAGTGCTCCAACATACAAAATAGTGATTGATAGTGTGTCAAAGTAGAGCTGGGCGATATGGTATCACGATTAACAAGATTTTTGCTCCTGGTGGTTAATTGCTGTTTTAAACTATGCTTTACGGTCAGAACAAGACAAACACTGCAAACAGTGGAACATTTCACAGATCTGTTATGGGAGAGTGGGAGAAAGTGTCTGTAGAGCTGTTTTTTTGCTGCAATTTTTGTAATAATCATAATTTAAGAAAGAAAACTGATTATTTTAGCTGTCTGGTGACGAGCGCTCAGCTACCCCGCTACAAATGCTAAACAAATGGCCAACAACAGAGCTAAACTGTTTAGTTTCTCAACAACATCAGTTTAGTACGAACAGCAAACATTAGCTGACTCAGTAGGTCAGTGATGGATCACCGCCTTACAGCCGTCACTCCGACCACATCCACATCAGAGCACACCACAGTATTCAGACACCAGCTAGCGACGTCTGGGTTTCTCTATACTATCACAGTAGTTTAAGGGGTGAACCGCAAAATATTAACACCAGACAAACGGAGTCCTCCTTTTCGCTACGTTTAAACTGAAAGCGGTGCTTTTGTGTCTCGTTTGATCTGCAGTATCATCAATTCGCCATGCTGTGTGAGTAACGGAGCTGCTTCAAGTTAGCCAGCTGCTAAAAACAGCTAGCCTGGGAAGATAGCGCTCTCCCACTCTTCACTGCCTCACAGCTTCCTCAGTTTACTTTCCTTTAAATCAGGGCTGTAATTTACATGAACCCACTTCTTTCTTTCACTTTCGTTGCTTGTGAATGCACTAATACTGAAATATGACTGAGCGCTGTAACAGTGCTGTAGTTGTGAGTATCAGACGTGATTTAACGCTGCTAAAGCTGTTAGGATGTACAGAAAGAGGTGAGTTCACTGTAGGACAGTACAGTTACGCCACTGACCTCGTCACTCACACTCAGTCACAGGAGAACAGATCGCCGGTCGCTCCACTCAAACAGGGAATGTATCACCTCGTCCCAAACCGCATACTAGCTCACTAAATAGTGAGTAAGAATAGCACATATACCATTAGAAGTGCTCTCATTAGTGTTGTATGTGAAGTACAGAAGTGTGTGGTTGGGACATGGCATATACTCAGAAGTGCGCCCTCTCCTGGCGACAGCAGAGTAGTGTCGCCACCAGGGCTTTCGCTAGAATGTGGCGACGTAGGAAATGGTGAAAAAGGGGGTTATTTCTGGTCCTTGTAAGTGTTCTAGACAGTGTTCCAAATTCAGGTTTTTTACTAAAGATTACGTCTAGAACTGCTCTGCAGGGTTGTTAAGGGCAGTTATGTAAATCTGTTGGCTGTGAATCACAAAAGGCTTTCATTTTCTGTACATTCTCTAAATCAGATAACGGGACGAGTCTCTGCTTAAACACACCAGACACGACACGGCTGAGCTCCGAGAGTCCTGCTAGAGACCTGCTAGCCTGCTTTAGTCCTGCTTTAGTCCTGCTCTCTGAACATACAGTATTAGTTAACAGAGTGAGTGAGTGGAGGAAACAGTGGATTTAATCCCAAATGCTGCATCAGCACAACAGAACATACCGGATCACTTCCAACAGAGGAGTAACTCTCAAAGTCCACAGAACACAGAGAGAGAGAGAGAGAGAGAGAGAGAGAGAGAGAGAGAGAGAGAGAGGGGGAGAGAGAGAGAGAGAGAGAGAGAGAGAGAGAGGGAGAAAGGGAGGGAGAGAGAGAATAAGGTAAAAAAGAAAACGGGCAGAAAGAGAAAATAAGAACGAGAGAGAGCAGCGGTAAAGTAATGAAGTGAACGAGTGAGTGTTCTCTCTGTTCTTCTGGCCGGTTCTGTCTGTCTGATAAAAATGGCGTAAATGGACACCAAACTGCAGCGGTCAGGAATAGTTCAGCAGCAGCTGTGAGTGTGTGCGTGTGAGGAATTCTCACTGTTCACACACACATGCAGTGGTCAGTCAGTGACCCCTCCCTCCTCTGAACAGTTGATGGTAAAGTGAACGAAGCTGAGAGA